CGTGAATGAGAATTGTTAGCCATAAAATAACTTTTTCTCCTTTTAATCATGGATACCTTTCTTTGTATGCCAACATTTACAAGAAAATACCTTGATATTTTCCAGTGATGGTGCTTCAGTTCATTCTGAGCCTTACTGTCTTCATTACAAGCTGCAGTACATGTCCAATTAGAGTTGCTCCCAGATATAGGATACTGAGCACTGACTTTGAGGGCAGGTGACAGTGTGAGCTAGATTGGACAATTTGCATGTTTGGAGACTGTTAAAAGCTAATTTATTTTCCTGTAACACAAGAGGAAGAGAATTGCTCTCATCGCTTATAGGGGTTGGTCCTTCCCAGGATTTTAGGGATGTACAGGGAATGAGAGTTGATTTTAAAACATTACACTTTCATGGCAGCACAGGTAAAGTTTACCATAGCTATTGTCTAATTATTTCTGTTTGTTTGGTTGTTTTTTTCCCCTCCTGTTGCAGTGTTTTTGTTTTGAAGAACAGCGGCTAAATCCTCAGGAGGAGGTGGACATGCCTGTCTTTTTCTACATTGATCCAGAATTTGCAGAGGACCCAAAAATGGCTAAAGTTGATTTGATCACCCTCTCTTACACTTTTTTTGAAGCAAAGGAAGGACTGAAGTTACCTCTTCCTGGATATCAGTAATGGGCAATCTCTACCCCATTTGATTTCTGCTGCTCAACAGAAGTCTTGAAACCATTTTCCAATGGAAGGAAGAACAGGAGTTCTGTGTAACGTGAGATTATATTATTAAACCACCATGGGCACATGCTTGTTATTAAAAGATGTATTTCTGTTTTTTTAATAAAACATGTATATAGTTGGAGTATTATTTCTCCATCAGATAATAGAAGGAAACACTGCTTCTGGAAGGGAGAGGGGTGTCCTCAAACCATATTTTTATAAAATGGTACATGCTGCATGAGTACTGTGAGGAGAATTTTTAAATCCAAGTGTAAACTGAGATCTTCATTTAAATACAGATGAACAAAGGAGTTGAAGTCTCTAAAATTGCATTGCTGGCTCTGAAGAGTAACTTACATGTAAGTTACTCTTCAGAGCCAGCAATGCAAGTTACTTTATAACAAGGTAAACCCAGGTAACAAGTTCATGAAATCTCAAAACTAAAGTTACACTGTACTGCTGTGTAACCCTCCTCTGGCACAGGAGGATACAATGATTCAGAAGCTGATGCACCCTCTCAAATTATTAGTGAATCAGTAGTTCATTTTAGAGCAGACTGCTCTAGAACTGTTATCATTTGAATGAGAAGCAGCAATTTACATGTAAGCACATCAAATCTCTTGTACAGTTTCCATTCAGAAACACCATCTTCAAATTTCAGTGCTGTGTTGAGCTCATTTACAGCACCCATCCTGCTGTGAGAGGCACCTGACAGAGACAAGCTCAGCTCCTGTATGAAATGCTTTGAAGGGAAAGGCAGTCCATAAAACACTGCTCTGAATTGCAGGGTAAGTTAATAGTGCAAGAGAAGGAAATCAACCCCCACTGAGAGGTTAGGTCTGACAAAGTCTGCCCAACAGTGCAGCAGTGTTCAGAGATGCTTTGTTTACCATCAGAACACCTAAGCCTGTATTTATGTAACTTTTGGTCATTATCTGTGGGGTAAGGATAATGACACTTTATCATAGCTTTGCAAACAAGTGAGTTGCAGAGCAAGTTCTAAGCGACCCACTCATTTTCAGACAGGACAATCTCAGCCTGGTATCTCATCTGCTAGGCCAGTTCTTTCTACTCCTAAACAAATTAAGACTTATGTTGATTTATTTGGATTCTGAAAAGGTAAAGAGTATATCAGATAACACTTTCTGGTTACTTTAGTCTCAATTATGTTTGGATACAATAATTCAAAAAGTGTTTTTAAAATAAATGGTTGCTACCTTTAAAATGTATCACTGTACCAGTTATGTGTGTTGTTTAAGTAGAGTCTGGATGATATTCATGTCAGGTCATCACTGCATTTGTTAAAGTTTTAAAACTTTATTCTATCATTTCTCTAATGCATTTTATCCATCGGAACACTTGGGGCTCACACAAATGAAATACATCTGTATGAAGATAGCAGCAAGCTTTATCATCTTTAATAGAAGTAAGGTGCTCCAGTGATCCTACTGCAAGCTGCAAAATGGTTAGCTGTGCACTAAAACATCACAGATTCACACCAAAATACGTCCAATTCTACCCACGTTTGGTATTTCATAGAATATGCATGTCATCTAGTAAAAACTCTGAAGTACTGGGAGTTAAATTCTCAGTAAACTGATTTTATTTGGAACTTTATGCCACAAAAATTGCAGACCGACCGAGAACTTACTGTTTAAACAGTTAATATAATGAACATCTAAAATGCAGTATTTCACAAAAAATGAGCTTATCTGCATTAACAAAGTTCTCAAATTTTATGTCAATTATAAATTCAGAGAACTATACCTGTTAAAGTGCACATTTTATATTCAGCATTAAAATAGATAAGGCACTTTAATTATTAAAAGATAAAACTGTTATTAACAGGGATAAATAACTTGACTAAAATAAATGGATAACTATTGCTCATCTGCATTGTAGATGATTATTTTTTCCTTCACCAGAATAACAATATCTGCAGGGCAGGAACATCAAAAGAAATGATTGATCCCTCTCCAATATTTACTGAGTAAATAAAAGCAACAACAACCTAGGAACAAGCAGGTTTTTTTCTGTTCAGCACCTCACGTCCCAGCTCAAGTTCTTACCAAGACAAAACTCCAAGTATATTGTAGGCTTCTAGGAAGAAAACAAAATATGCATTCAGAATGTAAATGTTGGAAAGTAACACTGCAGGTTTTCAGACATCTGTGAAGAGGCCAAATTTCAGAAAAATCCTAGGTATCAAAAAGCCCCTTCTACATTTCTAGAGAGGTTAACACTGAGAGCAACCAGGGACAAACAGAAACGATTCTGCAGTTTCTGTAAACACAACCTTTTGTTTTGTTTGCAAAACACGGGTAAAGCAACACAAAAGAACAGTCAACAAGGAAGAAAAGCTTTCTTCTGTAGTCGCAAGATCCCTTTTTGTGTACTTGTGTCAGGTGTCAAGTGTTACTTCCTACACAGGTGAATTTGGAATTCATATTTCAAAGTCCCCCTCCCCAAATACTTTAATCATGCAAGTCACCTTGAAGAATACACAGTTGAACATAGAGGACTAATTATAAAGGTGTAGATCCAAGTGACTCTTCAACTTCCACACAGCTTCATATTCCAATGCTTACTGTTTGTTGTATCCAAATACAAAACCTGTTCTGTTACAACATTACAGGAAGCATTGCACAGGACCAGGTCAGAGAATAACACACTCAGTAAAGACTTCACCTCCACCTTCAGCATTCTGTGTTCTTTTTAACTTCTGTCTTCAGCACAACATCAATATCTTCATAAACAGCTCTGAAAGAAGAGGAACAGGGTGACTCCTACATTGTAATTGTTTCACTTGGACAAAATGCACCCACAAGATCCTGCCCAAGCATGAACTGCCAAGAGCTTACAGTGTTTGCCTAACTGGGTAGCAACGGTTGCAGGATGCCCAGGATTCCATGGGAACAAAGAGCCAACCCTGTGGTGTGTCTGGGATTATACATTTAATGAAATACCTCTGGGCACTGTCACTTTTGATGAAACAAGTTTAGGAACAGGACTGCAAAATGCAAATGGCAGGCACAAATTACCGCACAAGTTTAGGAAAAAACCAAAGCTTAAGTTGAGATTTTTCTACCTTGGAATTCAATGGTTCCTTCTATAGATGGCTCCATTTTTTTTTTTTTTTTTGGTGTGATTTTCTGGTAGAAAGGAGAGTTCTGCCATCTGTTTAGTTTCGTATTAGTTTTCTGACTATTTGACCCTTTGGAAAGTCCCAGCATCTATTCCCTTTTGTAGTTTATATTTAAATAGAGGATTTTTCCTGGTATGCAGTAGAACAATATTGTTAAAAATCATGATGGCTAGGAACAGGAACCACTTGAGTTATCTTGCTCCAGAACCACCTGTGTTAAAGTGTCAATCAGCTTCCTCCACTAGGACCCTGACCAAGTTCTATTCACCTTTTCCTGTCACTCGATAGGATTTCAGTAGATAGTTTTTGGGACAGCATTACTCCAGGATTATTACAGATGGCATTCAGTGAACACACTACAGGAGTTTAGTCCTTAGATGTTTGTATCAGAAATACTGGAATAAAATATACAAAATGCAGCCACTCTCATTTACAGAGATCCAGTTGGTGAGCTCACTCAGCCTCAGTCATGTGGTCTGTTTTCTCACTCAGAAGAGTGAGCCACCTCAGAAGCCTTCTTGCCTTTGGCACCTAAGAAAATTGTATACTATCTATTTTGAAAGTTACTTACTCAGTGGGAGCCAAGGGATCAAATTCCATTATCTCGTAGTAATGAGGTGACTGTAACTTGTTCTTTGATTCAGCTGAGGAATAAAGAGAGGCAGATAACTCAAAACTTAAATGTAAAGGAAAAACATGCTTACTGCATGCTAGGTTTTTGTATCTTCTTTATAGTAGCAGATTATCTCCTATGTAATGTATCTAGTTGCTTTAAATGCTAAAACAGACATGTCTAAGAGAAGCTGTTAAACAATATGCCATGTCAATGTTTGCTGCTGCTCTTAGTCTGTAGCAGCCATTATGTAAAGTCTTTAAGTTCTAACAAACAAAAAAATCTCCATAAAAGTTAGGTGGTGTGCAGTATTTATTACCTGCTGGTGATGCTCCATTTAATGATGTAGTATGTCCAGTCTGCAGATTTACTGGATTCAGAGGCACTGGGCTTAAAAGAGTCGCCAGCTAAGGACACCAAGCAAAACAGTGCATAACAGACTGCTCTGTGAGAACTGGTTTCACTTCACTTTTACAACTGCTGACTTATGTTTAGACTCCCAGACTACAGCAAGTAAATTCTAAGGTCAGTTATCTATCTAATTAATCTCCATTCTCCACACAAAGTTCAAAACATCTTTCAGTGTTACCTATAGCAAGCACACTTGTGTAATTTACCTCTGTGTAATTTGTTACATTTCACAGGCAGCAGAATTCACATATCTGTTTTCACTTGTGATTTAAAATAGGGAATGTGTGTGTTTAGGGGCTACTTCTCATCTTTTCTGTTTCATATTGCCTAGCACAGAAGAACATTCAAATTCATAACATTATCTCAAAGCCCCTTAATATTCTTTCTGTTATGGGTTTTGTCTACAGCATATGCTATTTGTCCTACACTGTACTACTTTTTAAATTTTGGGGGGTTTTTTGTGATTTTTTTTTTCCTCCTCTTTCTTTTTCAAAATAAATAAGATAGGAAATACACGAGAGTAACATAATGGCAGCAGGAGGAGATCTCAGCTTGCTTCACATAGCAACAGATTAAACACAAGTAACAGAGCAACTGCTTTCTTCAGACTCCTCTGAGATGGTGCTGGACACAGGAAAATACCCTTTCATCTTAGCATCTGTGGTATCAAAAGAGGAAAGCTGGCCTGGTCACCAAATAGAGAGCATTCCCTGATGTATGGAGAAGTGCCACAGAACAGATCTGTGCATGCCCTCTGGACAATACTCAGGGTATATCCACACAGTTCTTATTTTGACAGTTGCAAGGAAAACCTGATTACTCTGAATGTGAGCGTTACTCACGTTGCTATATGAATGTCCAGCTGGGCTGCTTACACAATTGTTCTGAGCTTCAGCTGCAGACCTAGGAGAGAGAGCAATACATTGCAAGGAAATGAGAAACTATCAAACTGCACATTCCAATTATTATTTTTTTGCTGGTCTGTCTTTACCTTGTGTGACAACTGAAAGCAGCATGGGCAGGTGGGATAGTCACATAAAAGGCAGGGAAATACAATGACATCTCTCCTACCTTTGAACTTATTCTTACTGACCTGTACAATTCATGTTTCTCCCTTTCACTGCAGCACTGCCAACACTCATGTAGAAAGTCATAAATATATCTCAAGTATGTTTTGACTGTTGAGATAAATTTGTCTATGACTTAAGAGCACTGCAGGAGTAGTGTATTTTTAAGCATGTCAAGCACGTCTAGCACACTGGTAGTTTTCACTTGTTTCACTGGACTCCTGCATAAAGCAGTTAAATCTGTGTTCTCAGAGCTTTCTATAAACTCATTAGATGAATTATGGAGTACTAGCACCCCTGAAGATTTGTTATCTGTTACCATTTCTGGATAAGAGATTACTCACGGCAATTGCTGAGCTTTTGGAGTAGCTGCTAAATCTAGCTGTGGATAAATTGATGGATGATGCCTGGTTTTATCTTCAGGGTGTGCAGATAGGCGATCTGAAATTCAAAATTATAATTAATGATCATTTAAACATTAATAAGCAAACATTAGTTACTTGTACTATGAACATTGAACAGGTAAAATTTTGTTTGGAAGGGGTGTAAAGAGTCTGAAACAAGTGGCTGTTTATCACACGGGAGGGGGGAAAAGATTATTGCTTCCACTGTCAAGAAATGACAGGGAACTTTATACTACCTTACCTATTTTATTCCTATGTACACATACCAGTTCTCCTTTTAATGAGATTTAAGGAGCATCCTTAAAGTCAAAGAGTATCGTTGTTTCTTTTCTTACAAAGAACTTCTTGATTCCTTTACTAAGCTCCTGTTGGTTTGCCTGAGGAAACCAGACTGCAAAGGAAATGTGTGTTCATCGCTTACTAAGGCCCGAAGGAGGCACTGCAGAGTCACTTGGTGTCACTGTAGAGACGGGCGAAGGAGAATCGAGGGAGAGGTCCAGCAGATCACTCGAGGGAGCAGAGGGCTGCTTCCTGTACAGCTTAACAGTCGAAAAGGAATAAAGTTGTTTGAGAGTTTTGATGCATTTTGTTGTTTGTTTAAAAAGAACATGTATATTTCTAACAAAACTGATACTTTCACAGAATTCAGACTTTTTTGAAAATCATAATATTAACAACTGGCAAGTATGAGAGAAGACTGGGATTTATTTTGTGTGAAAGATGGCTAATTAAAGAAAAAATATGCTTTCCAGGAAAAGATAAGTTTCAACAAGGTTGCTATTTCAAAAAAATTAAGGCAAACAATTCTGAAGTAGGAAACAGAATGGACTCAGGTCTAAAAAACAATTGTGAGCTTGCTTATATACAGGTTTGATATTGATTTTCTGATTGATCCTGTAAAATTATTTTCATACTACTTATTTGTGTTATTGAGACTTAATACATACTCAGGAGACTGATTTTTTTTTCCTCCAGTCCTGTTTTGGATAGGAAAAGTTCAAAGTTACAGCAGTGTTTCCTAGGACACAGAAAAGACTCCCTTTTGTGTCTCCTGTGAATGTGTTGGAATGAAAAATGTAGCCAAAGATTTTACTAAAACCACATGCTCGAATTATACAGGTTTGGTCACACTAGACTAAACACAAAAAGACAATGCATTTTGGAGACTCCTAAATAATATTGAAATGCACAGACTGCAACATTTGGACTATTAACTAATCCAGCAGTGCATCCATCAAGTAAAAACATCCACCTACATAACCAGAATGTAGTAATAGTGGCTTTTCAAGGAAAACAAGATCATCTTCTACCTTTTTTTTTTTTAAAATAAATGTGAGCTGTATTTCAGCATTCACAATACCAATACAGCCATTTTCACATCAAGTCCCAGATAGCTACACAATTATGGCTCAGCAGAAGCTGAAATGTACAAAGCTCCTTTCTGCAATATAATTAACAACCATAATTATCAATCAATAAAGGACAGTCACTGAAGATTTGCTACAAGCCATTACTCACAATTCAGAAAAAGCTTTGACTCAGAAAAAAAACCCATCAGGAACAGTGAATTCTGATAGTGTAACAGTATTTCAGTCTATAAATGCATAACAGAACAAATTAAACATTATGGTTCCTCATTTTGTATATGGCAGATAATAGTGCTTAGCTGTAGAGGTAATAAAGCAGCAGCTGAATAGAGCTCTCCCTCTCTCTCTCTCTCTCTCTCTCATTTTTCCTGACCAAGTTTCTGTCTTAGATTTTACATTATTTGCTACTTTAGTTACATGAATTTGCATTAAATTCTGCAAGTGAGACTTCAGAAAAACCAACAAGAGCAGTATCAGCCTGTTGTCTCCTGTACCACGCTCAGCTGGAGAATAAAATTCTGTATGTATCAAAAGTGTACTTTTCACACTGAACAAAAAAAGGCATGTTTACAGTCCTGCAGCTCACGAGTTATCTGTAAGCACTCACCTCTGTGCGTTCACGCTGTATTCTCTGATTCTCCAAAAACCGAACTCTGTTTCGGGAGAACCTGTTGAAGTTGCAGAGTTCAAGGTTCATTATTACATTGGTACGATGTCATTTGCAAGAATACTAAACCAGTTATAATCAAAATTTGATTATCAAATGACTACAGAGGTGCCAAACAAGCAGTACAGGTGGGTTTTTTTCTGGGCCACTTGTCTCTGCGCTAGCAGTTGAACTCTCTCTTCTCTAGGGCTGTGGTCCTCTGATCAGCTATGGTAACATCAGTTGGGTTGTTCCTGGGCTCACCTCTGGAGACAGGCCCCTGTTTCTTCCAGAACAAAACCAAGGCACAGCTGACAATTAGGTTTGCCTCTGCTCATACCAGACTGGTAACTATGAACACACACTTTGCCAAATCTGGCTCCTTCTGACCAGAACACTCTTCCAGATGAGTCCTAGGAAGCCTCCTGTCCTCAGAGGTCCCCACATCCTCTCATGCCAACTCAGGACAAAGCACATGCCTATTCTGGTACACAACCCTCTCCTTAGTTCAGGCATCTGAAATAATTCCGAAAGAGGAAACAAAAAAATCCACCTGCATAAATATTTAAGTACTAGAAGTCACAGCAGTGCTACCCTGGGTCCAGAGGAGACCCAGCCAAGTGATATTCAGCACCCATAATGTCAACCTGTTTCAGAAGAGCCCCAGGCAGTACAGACATGAGACTGCATTTGCTATTCGGGGTTACCATACTGCTGGGGCCCACAAAGAGAGTATACATGCAGGGAGGAACAGGAGAAAAAGAAAACCCAAGCCTTTCCAACCGCAGAACATAAAATATTTATCTCAAACACAGAAGACTCGAAAAGTAGCTAGTGCCACTAGAGGGAGTCATCGTTACGTGTACGAGCCAGTTCGTTGCACAACAGTGATTGCTCCTGGTTTAATTTGGACTCTACATTAATAACCAGAAACAGAGAATGCAGCATGACTTGTCTTCAAACAATACACAGAAGTATGAAATAGATGCAGCTAGTTAAAATCAACTTGTCCTTTACAGATCTCATTGTTCAGAGTGAGTGCCAAAGAATATTCTGCAGCTAACATTAACCAAATACATTTTAAGACTTATCAGCTCTAGTGTGCAATGTTATCTGCACCCAGGAAGACTCATTACATATAAGTTCTAGCATTATAGTACTAGAACACAGTAGTTTCCTGTCCAGTTTCACAATGGCCAATTAATTGCTCCTTCAATCACTGCGTGAGTCTTTCATAAGGAATTTGCTGAATTATACCCACAAGCTACAATTCATGGTTCAAGAGTTCTTGGCCTTGCCAATATTCATCAGTCATAACAAAAACATAAGCCCACATCTGACTTGAATGGATTTACAGGAGCTGAACAGGATTCTGTTCTTGCTTTACCAAAATGAAAGCTTCCTAAAGCAACTGAGCACAATTCTTTCAAGGCAGTTACTGTAAAATATGTCAACACTGCTGTAGACATCAGATTGAAGGAAAAATGGAAACTAAATGTTGTCAGCATTCGGCCCAAAGTTTGTGCCATGACACTTACAAGAATTATTGCTATTTTCAGTATAGCATTCAGAAGAGGATTAAAAAGAAAACCTGAATAAATTCTCTAAATCTGTTAAATTTAATCATGCGCCATTGCACTTGATGCATAATGATTTTTAGAACATTTCTTAGCCACAGAGGAGATCAACTACTTAACATGGAAGGCTAGCTCCTACTAAATCAGAATACTCTCCATGAGTATACTCATGTGATATTTTAGGGCATAATACTGGAATTCTGAGTTTAAAATTCATTTCAATTTTGCTAGCATCTAGTCAGTCTGCCAAAGACAGAACAAATACACAGGATGTCAATGCAAGCACTGTGATGCTTCTGTGTGTGAAAGAAAGAAACATTCTCTGCTGTAAGACAAGCAGAGCAGCGTGTTTCAATCCAGCTGAGAAGAGCAAGGGACTCTCTTAAGCATGCAATGAGGCAGAATGTAATTCCACGGCCGGTTTCTGCAGTAAAGCTGTCAGAGCTGTTTAGAAAGGAAAATGAGTATTCTTTGCTGAAAGTATACATACTTAACAGAGATAAGGACCATCACTACTACCAAAGGGTTTGTAGCAGGCTGATGAAAAATTCACTGTGCGCTACCGATGCACTACCAAAAAGGAATGTTCAGTTCCAAAGTGATTTGTGTGCCTCCATCTAGTTTCCTGTCTATGTTGTTAGCTTGTTTTACCCCATTCTAATAGTTTACTAATTACCTTTATGAACCCTTTCAGAAGTGTTTAGGAGAGGACAAATCCATGATTTTCTCTTTCTGCAACCATGTTTGTTTTTTTTTTTTTCTGGATTTAAGGATAACGTCTCCTTGTAGAGGATCCATATTAGACGTAGGGACCATCTGTGTCCATTAAGTGCACTTATTCAATTAGGATACCAAACGTGAGGAGAGAGGCCCCGTACTTACCTTTCGTGTCCTAAGAGGACATTATTCAGATCATCATTTACTTGTATTAACTCAACTATCACATCTTCATTCTCCACTGTCACCAACAATTCCATGATCCGCTCTTGCATCATCCGACAGGTTTTATACAGTTTCTGCCAGAGGCAGGGGAAATAAAAAAAAAAAAAGATAAATTGTTACTGTGGTCTCCCAGTTTGCTAGTTCTGGAGAAGAATGGTAAAGACACTTGAGCACTGCAGACTCACAGGTAACGTTCCTGAGTTCACACACAGCACGCATACCAAACATTGCAAATAGCGTAATTTTCATGTCTTTGATCTCTGCAAGGCAGGCTGACAACTCCCGTCATCACAGCCAGCACTCAGACCCAATCCACATCTCCTGACCCACCTCTATGTCTAAAGATATATGTGTCTCTAAAGTCTACATTACAAACTGCAAAATAACACAGACCCATTCAGGTGATGCAGAGTAAATTTGATTTCATCCTGTTGGAAGCTGCTTAAGCTCAGCAGGATATTTCACATGGATGCGATCCTGTTCGGTCCTTGCAGAAAGAGTAGTCTAAAGGACAGAGACTCCATGAAACAAGTCTCTAGCTCTAACTATTCCTTTAAGGGAGGAAGTTTGGATTCACTTAACCTATCCACTTTTTGAGAAAGTAACACAGACCTAGCAGAGTCAGCTGGTAAGAGAATTAGGAGAATTTATTGAGCAGAATTTTGCATTACTGCCAGTTGAAATGGGAGATGGTTTATTTATTATTCCTCTCCACTGCAGATTTTGCAAGTTCAAAGAAACAAATTCTTTAGCAACAGGAACTTCAACTCAGCCAACATTTTCTTTTCCCCCCACAGTGCATTTGCAAATGCTGGCTGGCTCCACTTAAGGGAAAAAAAAAAAAAAAAAGGAAAGAGGAAAATTATCTGCACACTGCTATTCAGAAATTGCTCTGCTATTATTTTCAAAGCGATCTGATCTTCTCCTCAGAAAACATATACTTAATGTAAATAAACTATTTTATTTATGTTAGAAAAAATATTGGACCTTTTGCCAAATCTGCATAAGGATTACAGAGTACTGTAACTTTCAGTACTGTATCTTCATAGCCCAGAATAAAAAACACAAAAAATGTACTCCGTTTAGTAAGTAATCAAATTTAAAACCTCTCCAAGCCCACACTTTGCTACCTGATCTGCATTCTAAAATACATGTATTTCTTATGACTCCATTACACAGGCAGACTAGCTCCTTTGTAAGCATCAATATTCCAGAGAGAAGGAGATTGAGATGCTCATTTCCAGCACAGATCAGCTCTGCCCTGCCCACAATGGTGCGGGCACTCCTACAGTTTGAAAGCTGGAGTGTTGCAATGATGCATGACCAGCTGCTGTGACAATCAGCAGTGACTCCAATGAATTTGTGCTAATTCTTACCAGCTGATGATCTGGACCTAAATTCTGCACATCCATCAACCAAATACATCTATTCACTCTCCAGTACAAAAGCTTGTTACTCTTCTCAGCTCATACTGAGCTTTAGCTACCCCTTAATTACTGTTACTGGTCCGCACAACATTTTAAGTGAGATCTGCTATCTTAAGCCTTGTCCAAAACAGGGTGGAGGAAAGGAGGAGCCTAGCCACTAATGAAGCTACAGAACTGAAAACATGTTGCACTGAAATTTATCCTGTTACAGTTTTTATGGAGAGACTCCAGATTATCAGGAGGACTGAAATAGATGTCTCCCAACTCACTCAAAGCCTAAACAAGCAGCTACTTTAATAAAGGACTTTGTTCTCTGACAACAGAAGCCTAATCCAAGCAATTCAGGTAGAGCCACAAACAAAAGGGAACAGGCTCAGCCACGCTTGATGCTTTGTACCACTCAGTGCACAGGGGAAAAGAACAGAAAGAGCAACAGTGAGATGAACACAGAAGGAATGAGTTTTTAGTTGCTCTCCCACAAACGGGAACTCCACACCCTGTCCTCGAATTTTTGCCAACAATTTTATTACGGGGAGTGTCGGTAAGGATCCACTGGTTCACTGTGGACACAACCTGTGCACTCACATGCAGAAGGGCCATAGCAAGATACAGAAAAACGAGACATGCTTTTCCTGTTTTGCAACCAGAAACACCTTGCCATGGACTGGACAGAGGTGGCCAAGTATGTTAAACCAGTATGTTAAGCCAGTGTATTCTCCTCTTGGGGTATCTATCGCTGCCAGGTTAAATCATCAAGGCCAGTTTGCACCTAGGGAACCTCCCTGGTGACAGCAACACTACAGAAGTATTATCCACAGACCAGCCACAGATTAGCTGCTTTGGTGGTGTCCATTGCTGGAACAAGCTCTACTCAATCCTTTAGTGGAGGCAAAGCAAGCTCTCTGCAATCTATTGCAAAGCCACTGGCCAGTGTTTCAGATCTACTCTGTTCAGGCCTCTGCTTTGCAGGCTCTTCCTCCTCAGACTCCCAGCTTTGCAAAAGCAACAGTGCTAGAGATGTGAGGAACTTCCAGGGCAGCAAAGGCACTGAGAGATCATGCCTGTCTCCTATCTGGTTCCCCGAGACCAGCAGCACTGCCTGTCATTAAAGGTGAGACACAGGGGCAAATTGCAGCTGTGTCCATCGCAGCTCCAGTTGTGAACCAATCCATAGACACAGCTGAACCTTGAAAGCAAACCAACAGCACCCAATAAGGGTTCCTTCCAAAGGAAGAATTCCTCACTGGGCAAGAGAGGCACACTGAAGGCTTGCAAAAATTACATCTGTTCTCCAACATGTTTAAGTGTTGACAAATTGCCAAAAATGCTTCCTCATCATGGAAGTTCAGAGGTAGATTTAGAAACAGAAGGATGGGATAACAGCTTTTTAAATTCTTGCAGGCAATATGAAACAGAAACATCTCAGCTGACATAGGCCACTACTGAAATGCTAAATACTGTGTTTTTAGTTTCTAAAATGGAAAGTGCAGCACGAATAAGCAGAAGAAATGACATCACAGAGAGAAGAACACCTCCATGTTTGTTGTCAAATCTAAACCGTACTATTGCAATACACTTCCTTCAGGCTACACTTTAAGAGCACATGTTCACCTACAACACAGCAAGCTCCCAATCTTTGAGGTCATGCACATAAAATCAATGCTTCATATTCTTCACTGGCCTTCAGTCTGCCTCTAAGGTACTGGTAATAATAAAGAGAGCACTGCAAAGTCCAGGACGGATATGAGAGAGAGACTGTGTCATCACCTATTCTCCCACAAGGCAACAGCATTCAACAGGAATGTTCTCGGGGCTGTTTGACAGAACATGCTTAACAGAGAACACTCCATTATGAAATTCCTTTGCCCTTGGAATTCCCTAGAGCTTAAATTTGCATGGCAAGCTGTATCATCTTTTCCTGACTACCTAGATGTCAGGGGAAGGTGAAAGAGACAAGAGAAAGCTGAGCAAAACCAGAGATGGAAACCTGTTGTTGGATTCCATTTGGCAATCTGAATCCAGATGTTAAAAGAAAGGATGCAACATATTTTAAAATCAGCTTTGATCAAACCAGATCAACATACCCTACCAGTGAATTATCCCATACCTGCAGAAGATTCATATCATCTGGATTTTCAGAGCCAGGCACGTTCTCTTTTAATATTGATGACATGACTCTCACATTCATTTTGGCCATATCCAGCTCACTGTACAGCTTCCCAATCTGTTCAGTTCAACAGGACAGAATATTGTGTAGGCAAACAGAGCAAGCAGAATAATTTGTACCTCTACTACACACTTTCTTCCTCATTAGGTATAATATGGGCCTAATTAGCATTATTTTACTCCAGTGACATGCCATGAAAATGAATAGAATTAGTTCAGCTTTTGTATGTGCAATCAAACCAAGATCCAAGTCTTGATAATACTACTCATTTTCCTTATAGTTAATCCCTCTCACTAATCTAACTGTTACTCTTTTTAGTTACCTCCAAGCCAAGCACAAATGAAGGTGAACTGTCCTTTCCTTCCTACTTTTACAAGCCCTATGCAAAAGTAAGTTTGGCTTTCTCGCGTATCTTTAAAGTAACTTTTATCAATTAGTGTAAAACATTTTAAGACATGATTAGGTATTCTCATTCTTGAGTAAATGATTCCACTTTCTGGCTGGGGTACAGCCTGGCATACGTTGAACTAATTCCTGTCTACTTTGCTTTGGCACACTGCCATACGAAGCATCTTCAGGAGAAGAGAACTAAACCCAAGAACATAGAGCTATGGCACTTGAACTGATGGTCCCTTCCACTGGTCTACACACCCAGGTTCTTGAAATCACACGTTTACTGTACATTTCAAGTGGACTTGCCCTCCTCTAGACCTGTAATACTGCACCTGCTCAGGAGTCAACAATAACGTTGGGCCTGTGGGAAGAGGCAGCAAAGAACGTTTTGCAGGATTAGCAGAAGATGGTGATGACTTCACAGAAGGCTGAGATGACATCTGCAGAAAGACAGAGTTTGGGTTTAACAAAAAAACTGAAGCAAGCATCCAAAGCTACAAAACATTGTTGTCAAACCAGACAAGTAGGCATTAGCTTTCTCATAATCAATGTTCCCAGGGAATTCGTTGAGCAAAGTCTATTTACAAGAACAAATCTAATGGCTATTTTGTAGTGCAATGAGGCTTGGAATTTAGAGATCTTATAAATGGGTTTAGAAGTAAATTCCATCACGGGATGAAGTGGGAATGGCTAAGAACAGGCTACCTCCCTGAGCTCTTCAGCCATCTAACAGCCAAGAGTCCTTCCCAAAGTGCCACTGCAACTTTAGTATGAAGGACAGATTAGAATGCAATCACATTTGGAAGCAGTGGAAAGGCTGGGGGGGGTTGGTCTGGGTCTCTGCAGAAGACAAACTTCAAAGGCCTTCTGGATCAAAAAGCTGGAACACTTCATCCGGAGAAAGCTTCACTTGCATTTGTATTGAGTACTATAAAAAAAAATCCAAACCCAAAACCCAACCTGCACAAGGTGAACACTTCAAGTTCTTAATTTCCTAGAGACTGGGGTAAGAGTTGTGTTCAGACCTTTCTTGCCAAGATCAACAGGTTTGTCACTGATTTTAACTGTCAGATACATCCAGTAGACAGAATTGTCTCTACTTCACTCCACAAGGACAAAATTATTGTCTGTTGAGAGCACTGTCCACACAGCTTGTTCAAACAACATTTAAACACATAAGCTTTTGTGCACTCCACTATTCAATCATCAAATCAAACACAGGATAAATCTGAATCATTCCTGTTTGCATTGATTATAGACATCTAGTTCTGTAACGGCAAGGTTGCAAGGTTCCAACACTTCCCAAAAACCTTGTGAAAACTCCTCTCAGAGGGAAAAAAAAAAAAATGGAAGGAATGGCTTTAAAACATGCACTGTATTTTCAGCTGATGTCCAGTGCTCCATACTTGTATTTAATGTCCTCGATGCTACATGGCACTACCTATGACATATGCTTAAATAACATTCATTGTGTACAGGCTGTGTAAACAGCTGGAGAGATATACAGACAATAACCTTTCCTTGTAGATTTCTACTTCTCTTGGTTTAATTTTAAAGACAGATAATGCTCATATTCTGAACAGTATGTGTTTTCCTGAGTCTTACTCATTTCAGCTGAGGCTTTCAGAAGCTGGCAGGTTTGGAGCACACAGCTCTCATTCATTCTGAAGTAAACAGCACGCCCTTTACACATGTCTGAAAGTTTCAAGAGGGAGATGCTTCCTTCTTTAAGAATGTATCCACTAATGTGTGATTTGAAACAAAACAAACTATTATGTAGGCCAGGTTTCTTTGTTGTTATCTCAGCTGTTATGATTGAAATAGATTCCTGCTCATGTGCTTAAGTAGGTTGGTCATATTCTGCCCTGGAGCATTTAAATAAAAAAAAAACTCAAACCAAACAAACACACCTTCTATTGTCTACAGAGTTCATACACTGAACACATTCTGTTTCTGATTTACAATGGCTAATGAAGTATTCTTGTTTGTCCCCACCTTAGGTCCCACTCTGCTGGTGTCCAAAGATGGAAACTCCACTCCTTTCTTCAGCAATTCTAGGTAAACTTCTTTTACTTCACTCACATCCACCATTCCTTGGAAACCTCTGGCCCACAGCTAGTTTTGAAATAACAGGAACAGCCACAGTCACAGAAATGGACAGTCAGTGGGTCAGACAACAACATGCAGTCCTAAAGGCAGGTCATCCCCTCCATCCACTCCAGCAGGAACTACAAAAGCTCCAAAGTTACCTCTTATCCTGCTTGCTAAGTGCAACCACAGAGGGAGCCCATCCACAGACTGGGAAAAGAATATAAAAGTTGGAGGCTGACGGTTTTCCAGTTCTCTCCCTCTGTCTCCCACTCTGTGCTTATCCTGCATGAAGCAGGAGCACCAAGAATAAAGTGTGCTTTACGAAGTTCTCATGAGTACCTTCCAGTACAGAAATAGGCTGCAACATTAAATGTTTACCATACATCAGAGACACATACACTTACTGTTTTCTAGACTTACCATGATAAAGGTCAAAATTTTCTCCTGCATGTCAATTGGCAGATTGTATCTTGGATTGAGTAGTTTCACCAGCTTGTCTTTACAGAAATCTTTCTTCACAACTAAAGACTGGAATCTTGGGCCACAGTTTTCTACACACATCTCAAGCAGCTGCACACAGAAAAAGCTTCTGTTACACAGATATTAGGAAAAAAGCCCAGCCCAACCTGACTGCTTTTGTTTAATTTGTTCCAAGTTGTTAAGGGAAAGAGCACAAGTGGACATGAACAGAATATTGTTAGCTATCTCACTGGAATGTTTGATGAAGTTCCTAGAGGGAAACAGTAGCTCACTGTGTGCACTGTTACACCTAGGTAATACAAAATGAGAAGTGTTAGCCAGAGTTATACTATTTTTAACAGAGAAGTATGGTTATGCTTGTTTCCATGTCACAGCAGTTACTGAACACACGGTACCTTAACAGCATGAAATCTGTACATAGCTTAAAAAATTACTTGTACAGATTCAGTAATAGAATTAATTCACTTCCTAGCACATAGGTACCCTGGTCTGACAGCTTCTGAAGAGCTCTACAAGAGAAGAAAATAAGATTACTAGATGCCTCTCTTCTAATCTGCCCTGTGAGAGACTAATGAAAAAACCAGAAAAGAAGAGATTTAACAACTCCGAGTCCGAGTTCTCCACGCGTTTTAAAGGTCACATCGATTTGAAACAGAGTAACTGAATTGTTCCAATTGTCAGATTCATCTTCATGAGAGAAGTCTCCTTCCAAAATTGTGCCTGGAATGCTCAGAGTAGGATTCCTGAAAGAAATGTGTTTGCCCTATCAAACGTAGCAGTATGTGATAGGGACATAATAGTTCTCCCCAGTACACCTGGAGGTGGCCGATTGCAGTTCCTGTTTCACAGGAGAGATGCCAAAAGCTGTCACTACATTCCAGCCACCTGAAAACAGGCCAACACAAGTCGTGACAGGAAACTGGGGTCAGTCAGATCAGCTGCACCATCAGGAACAGAACTCATCTTGCCTGGCTCAAATCTAGAGATCGACCACAGAACTATGACTCCTCATGCAGAGAAAAACAGACATTCTTGTGATTTTTGTTCTTTGCCCATACCTTTGATTTACCTCCCAGTTTAAAAGGGAAGATTGAAAGGCAAAAGCAAGGGGTAGAAATCAACAAAGGTCTGCAAAATTTCCATGGATTTTGGGACAAAACTTCCCCTGAATCATGCAACAAGACAGGATGTTCTCAAAAGGATACACAGCTTTTAAGGGACACTACTGTAATCTTGATAAAAGTTCACCAAATATACTTTTGTATTCAGAGCTGACTATATTTGACTAAATTGAAATAATTTTAGTAACTCATTTTCTAGCCTCAGGACTTGGGGATTTTTCTCCCAGTGTGATCAGGAACATACAGGAGAACAGGTTTAAGACCAGAAGAAAATATGTTGCTAAAATGAAAACAGGATAGAACAAAGAGACACTTGCAGACTGCTGTGCAAAAACCAGAGATAATTATAAAAAAATCTTGGCTCGAATCATTATTTTTCATTTGAAAGAATACATGAAACATATGCTAATAAGCCAAGTCATTTGCCTGTACAGTACTTCAAAGATGGTCTGTGTAAAAGGTTTTCAACCAAGTGCATGGGAAATTTGGTATGCTACTCCCTATTATTAATTCTCTAGTTAAGAGACTGAGTATTTACCCTCTGAATGAAAGTACTGAACTAATGGGCTAGATCCTCCACTCAATTATGACAGTACAGCCCACTCACTCAGAGCAAAGCTACACTAGTGTAAGAAAAAGAATTTGACTCAATTATTTTTAACTGGACCATTCACAAACAAGCCACTTCCACCTTAATTAATAACACCTTTCATGAGAATTTCAGTATGGTTATTTATCACTGCAAATAGGACTTCACCCTCTCAGTTCCATTGGAATGAATAGAATCAAGGTGGCCAAGTCAAGTCAACTGCTCCACACAGCACAATGGAATCTCAGTAAAAGGCATCTGAACAGAGATGAAGATAAACTGCAAGGTAGGAAGAAAAAGAGAAGTTAGTGGGTATAACAAAAAGCCAACTATATTCCTTATCAATAGAGACCTCACTCAGAATTCACTAGGACTATCTCCTCATCTGAAGTAGGTGTGCTCCAGAAAGCAGCAATGATGGGCAGATGGAGTTTTGATGGATACATCTCGGTCCTAAGGTGAACGCAACGAAACACAGATGAAGAGGTTGCTTCTTTGTACTTCTGACTCAATGGGAACAAGTCATTAATCCATCTCTGGGACCACACTCTGCTAAACATACACTGATGACTACCCAGTAGAGTTTTTGAACAGCAAGGCTGTTTAAATGCTGGCACTTTCCAGCCTGTAAGAATGGTGTTTTCAGCTGCCATTCATCACCTACAGTACAGTAGCTATGTAGACTTTCCTAAGATCCTGCATTTCAAAAATACTAACTTTTCAGTAGTATTCCACACTGAAATACAAAATTCTTTTGTTCCAAACTCAATGTCCTTTGCCCATATATACCAGGAAGTATAGTAAAATTGATTAGGGCTTTTTTGATTGAGGAGCTGGATGGCTTTTTCAGGTTTTTGGGTTTTTAGAGACTCTTCTTGGGAAAGGTTAATTTAACAAAGGAAAATCTGAAGGCCACATTTGGCATGCTAAAACTTCTTTACATCCGAAAACTTACAGAAAATTAAAAGGAAAAACAGAAAAAAGCCTAAGGCAAAAAACACCTCACAGATTTAAATCTACCTAACCACTTCCTTTAAAATGTTTTTCACCAATGTGACACAAAAATAAAACAGTAATATCATCTTAATTTCTGCCCACTGCTTTGCATGTAAGTGTGTGTGTGTGAACAAAGGTACAGACAGGGCTACACTCAAACCAGTTCCCCATGCTCTCTTCAGTTCCTAAGACCTTACAAGCATCAGACCAGGGGCACTGCAGTAGATGTTTTACAAAACCAAGGGAGACCAAAGGAGACAACTGAACAGATGCCTTGGTGTTCGCTACGTAAACAGAGTTTACATATCCAAAGTCTGTTAGCAATAAATCAAACAACACACACACGCTTTGTTGGATTCCTGCCTAGAAGTCCTAATCATCTTCACTCTGATTGCAAAATCACCACTGCCAAGCCTGATCTCTTGGCTTTATCAAAGCCTGTGCATGAAGCAACTCCATGGCCTGACACACATGCGCCTCCATCCGCGTGACTTGGCAGTGCCAGGGAACTTGTGTAGATCAGAGTACGTGGAGCCAAGCCACAGCCGACACATTGTACAGCTGGCACTCACCCCTCTGCCTCCAAGTCCATAAACAAACATCTGTGAGCCAGGAGGAGGAAGACACCGTTGAGATTGAGATACATCTCAGTGACAGAATCAGGGCTAACACACGCAGTTGTGCTACTTCGGATTAAGACTCCCACGTTTCACTCTGTGTGTATTCTCTGGGAATAAGCTCCTTAAGCAGTTTCATTAGAAAGATTAAGTTCTAGAACTTCAAGGTTGAGTAAACAAAAGTGAACCAAAGTACATTTCAAAAGAGAATTGATTTGTAGGTCTGGTGCTACCTTAGTTGTAGCTCATGTAAGTAGGAGAGAATTTCCTGTAGCCTCAAAAGCTGGAGGACCACGTTTACTGTGAGAAATACAGGTAATAAATTGCAGTTCATCAAAAAAGGGCCCTTATTTTTGTAGAAATGTGGAACAAAACCAATTTTTAAGAGCTAAGAGTTGCCCAAGGGGGAACTTATGTTTTAGGAATTGAAAGTTATTTCTCTTTTTCCATTTGCAATGATTTGCTATCCTAATCTAATCATTTCAAAATGGGAAATAGGAAGAAGTTCACTAAGATGATTCAAGAACATAAAACCAGAAAATCTAGCACATAGAAAGACTGATCCAGGAAAAAAGAAAAGTCATACGTGGTCAGCAATGAGGTTATCAAAGGAAAGGTTTCACAAATGCTGAACTGATGGCAGTACTGGTAGAAAACTAGAAAAAGGAAAGGAGCCAGGGGCAGAGGGAGATGGAAAGGATGGAAGATCTTACGTAATAACAAAGGCAGAGAGAGAAAGAAAGGTTGGCACATATTAAAAACCAAAACAAATGATTAAGGAACTCGGGAAGAAGAAAGCTGCAGTCAGAAAACAGAAGCTGGGCCAAAAGGATGTGACTGCCTGGCAGGCACAGCTGCACGTGTACCTGTGAGTGGGTGAGAACAGACATGGAGAAAGGTGTCTGGAACGGGAACGAGGCTGTGAGAAAGTGTTGAACTGCAAGCACAACTGACACCTGGTACATACTCCAGCTGTGAGCAAATACCGTGAGCTTCCGGGTCAGCTTGAAAATTCTTCCTTGGATACACCTGAAACAAGATCCCTCTCCCACCTTTATGTTCTTCAGAGCTAAGCTATAATGCCAGCTTGGGTATATCTACAGAGTAAATACCCAAAGAAAGGCTCCCAAATATAAGCGCTGGGTTATCACAACTCCAGCTGACTGTGACAGATCTTCAGGAAAGGGCCCGGGCACACAAAGGCTGCAGGAGAAAGAAAGCAGATCTGATAGAGCGACCGCTGCTACGGCAGACACCAACTGTCTCTGTTATGCAAACCTGTGGGACACACAAGGAGGTGACTCATGAGACAGTGGAGGAGGAAGCCATGAATGGAGCGCGGAAATGGAACGAGCTGAAGGTCTACCCCCGGCTGCTTAGCGCATTTATCTGCATCCCTAACTTGTCAGAAGACACTTGGGCAATCGCTAGGTGACCTACAATTTGACACTATCAACCACCTATCTTCCTGAAACACTTCTCAGTGCTTATTGACATAGATAATGATTTTGAACAACAAATACCAAACCCATGAGTAACAGGACTCGGCGTAATACAGACAGGCCTCTACAACCACAAAAAAAGGAAATCATGAAGAAAATACTTATAGACAAATAACAAAAGGCACAAATTCCCAACAACTTAGAATACAAATAGTAGGTTTCTTCTCAGTTGTGCTGTTGTTAGTCAAGAGTAATTCACGTTGGGAACTCTGGACTTGGTACAGTGTTAGGAACTTCCTTCTACTGCCTACATTACCAGTGTGGTGGAAAACAGAGAAGTATGTTAACATACTCCAGTAAATCTTAAACTGACTGAAATCACAATGCTTGCCCAAACTCTGGGATAGCTCAGAAACATGGTAAGATTCTAGAAGCCAGGCTGTCTCAGATGAGGATATTCTCAGGCAACTCCAACCTTTAGTCTTAACATCTGAATCTCGTGTGGCTTATCCCGTGTCTTGCTCCCTTGCTTAACTCACCACTGCTACCCTCTCATTCAAGTTTCTCATTTATACGTGATGACGCTTACCTTCATGAAGCAAGTATCACACATTCCACCAAGCTACAGAGCAGGCTCAGTTTAATCAACATTGGTACCACAAGATGAGTAATAGAATGGTCAAATGTAGCTTTTATGTAACATCTCAGTCCCTTTATCTTTCACAAACAGGCGGAGCACGCACACAAGGACAGTCACTGGGGCAAATAAAAACTACACTGCTTTCACCCAGTACAAGTTTGAAAAAATCCTGAAAACACAACAATAAATTTAGGGATTTCCATCATCCAGGACTGTAAGGAACGCCAGCAGATCATCTGATCTGCACAGCAGTAGTGCTGTACACCCAAACAACAAACACAGCAAACACCCCAGAGAGTTGTGTCAGGGATAATTTGCATGCCACCTTATCGTTTAAAATGTTTTCCTTCTTAGTGTCTAATTAATATAAACAGAGCTGTACTTACAGACAGGGTAAGCCTGATCTCCTTATGGTTACAGTTTTTTGAAAGCTTTTTCTTTAGAGCTTTAACTGCATCTTTAGGCCTGTGACAAGAAATTAAGTTGAAAAAGTTACCAGCAAAGTTAAGAACTAGTTTTCTAGTTCATAGCTTTCTTCAAGAGCCCAAAATACCAGTTTCAGACACAGGACCAAATTCATCCTTATATCTACACCCACATAAAACTAGAGCAATTGCCCCATTGATTCCAGCAAAATCACTTCAGCATTGAGCTGCAAGCAGTGAATCAGGTTTGTTACTGCAGACTGTGCATGACTCCAGAGACCTGTAGAGAAATAAAGTTATTCTCTGCAAAGTCTCCTCCAAAGTTATATTATTTCACTGTTGTACAATGGATTTACTTATCTAGCTTTTATTGCTATGAAAGGGAATAACAACTGCCAGCCGTATCAAGAGCTGACTGGTACCTATTTTTCATGTATGTTGCAATTAAAAAAATATTCTCTTGCAAGTGCTGTCAGGAGCAGGGGTGTCTTGGCTAACTTCCTATCTTATAATTGCAGGATGCTTTTAACTCATCTGAGTAATTGCCATGTATGGATGGGCAACCCATTCCATCCCAGAGATAGTGGCAACTCTAGCCCAGTCATTTTGATTTCTATATATACACCCTGTATCTTTTAAATATCTAGGCAGGAGGAAAAGGGTGGAAAAGGCTTATCATAGGTGGGAAACAGTTTTGCCTGATTAACGCAGGCTATCTATGGAGTACAATTATTAGGTCCAGCTCATGATCAACAAAAACAAGATGCCCTGAAGTCTCTTCAAGATCTCTCTAGAATCTAAGATGAAGCAATAGACATAAATACAAAGTTTCAATTAAAAAAAAAAAGTTCGTTAAAAAGATTTCAAAGCAAATGAAATTAAATGGGTATTTACTACATTTTTCAGTCTGAAACAATGTTGTACTTCAACAGAAAAATAGATGAGATTTCTCTTTTTTTCTTAGTTCTATGTCATACCCAGTCACACCAGTAGAGCACCAAATAATGAATGGGAGCACAATAGTGGAGATGAAAATTTTCCCCTGCAGAAAATTGTATTATTACTACTACTATTCCACTCCTGCTGCTTGCTTCTCTCAGTGAAGCATCTGGAAATGCTCTGGTCAGGAGGTGGATATTACATTAAAATAACCATCTGGCTAATTAGATACAGCAGTTTTGCTGCTCCTAGTATCCTGTTACAGACTGTGACTAGCAGTAGTTGCCTAGGAGGAAGTTATAAGAGAGTTCCTCTGTAGGCATAAGCTGTACACAAGAGGAAATACTTTAATAAAAAAAGCTCTGTTGCATAGAAGCTCCACACAAAAACTGATGGTGAAAACATACTGCTGCTTATGGCAATGACCAGAAGGGAGTTACTACTGACCTTCCAAGCTCTAAAGGCCACAGGTGAGAATGTGGGATCCAAACAAAATGAAAGGAAGGAAAAGTTGATGTATATATATAAAAAAGATAGTAAGGCATACCTCATTCTCCTGGAGAAAACTCTCCAGTCTGTGTTAAAATATGCCACTGCTAGCATAAATCCTTGCAGAGCAAAGCTGATCTTGCATGAGAACAAATTTCCTTCTCCTTTTACAGGTGGGAACAAGGAGGCTCAAAGCAGCAAGTGGCTGAACAAACCAGAACGTGGCTGTTCTGTGCAAGAGGCCACCTCTGTCCTGTGAGCCCACGGGGCATGCCTTGCTGTGATGGATCCCACCAAACAGAAACCCAGCCATCCCTCCCCTCCTGTGAGGTAGGCTGACTGAGAAACTGCAGAGCACAGAACTCCTATTAAGTTAAAAGCACAGAGTTTTAAATAGCATTGAAGGCAAAGAAACGCTCAAGGTCCTTTTCCAGTCTGGGTTTTGCAGAGCACAAGAGAACCCATTCAGCCTGACAAGTGGTACAGGTTATACAAAATACACCAGATGCAGGTGAGAAACCTACATTAGCACCTTTCTCCAGCGCCTGTCTGCAGGGAAAAACTTACAAGTCTAATCCCTACAAGTCCTGATGGCTGAGGAAGCAGCACCGAGACAGGAGAAACTCTTCCCTAGGAACCGAAGGTCCCCGCTCCCCGCTGCCGTGGTGGTTTGGGTGCCTTTGCCAGCTCATCGTATGTCGCCTGCTCGATTTTGCCCTGCCCTCGAGCAACGCTGGCGCTTCCTCCGAGACGAAACACCGGCTGTGCTCATTCCCCCGGAGAAGGGGGCGGGTGGCGGCACGGCCGGACCCTCCGACACCGGGACGCGACCCCGGG